GCTGTGGCTATGGTGCAGTTAATGCTAGCAGAGCTGGAGTAGGTGGAGCACTAAACTTCAGACCTAATCCTGTTTTCTCAAGGGCCAAGCCACGGAAGAGTGGTGGACGCAGCCCACTTGTACAGTGGCTGGTTCTGAGATAGGATGTTGAAATGATACTCAGTAGACAGCTTGGCCAAAATGGCCCCTGGATCAAGCCTCAGGCATTCCTCAGGGGCAGCTTGGCTTCCATGGGGATTAGCCACAAGGAATATGGAAGTGAGGCAGCAGTAGGAAACCTAGCTGAAATGAACCCATACATACTCACCTTGAAAGGACCTGTTGACCTGAGTCACCCCTGCAACGTATTTACTATTTAGACAGCACGTTGCTTAGCGAGATAGGCACATAGTGGAAGCATTGTCAGATGGAGCCACTAGGATTAATTCCCCGTGTTCTGCGACTCAAGGGGCATGCCTCATTTTTGTGCCATGCCTCCCCACTCCTTTTCCGTGTGAAGAATAAGCACCATGTTCAGCGCACACTTATTTTATTAAGTTAATCTTGTGTGGAAAGCTTCTTTAATCCAAATCACACAGGATAGAGAGAAATGTTCCCTTAAATAGAACATAGCGATAATAACAGTAATGTGGGTAATGAAGGCAGCGGAGTGGGGGAGAGGGGGTTGTGGCTGATTGTAATTAACTGGTTAAATGGAACACAAAAAGACGTGTCCACAGTGATTGGAGGGAGGATGTGTTCAGTATGTGGCCCTAGCCAACCCTGGGAGTTGACGGGTAAAGAAATACTGCTGGGATTCTGGATTTTTTTTTGCAGGGGGAAGCAAACTGATGAAGAAAACACAGAGATGAAAGCAACTTCCAAAATAGTTCTCCCCTCACAGTGAACCAGAGGATCCTGTCTAAGGACCTGATAAGGAGCACAGCTGGAGCTCATCCAGACCTCCTCCTCCCTGTTCTATATACACAACTCTCCCGACAAAGACATAAAGACCAAGAGTACACACCTCTCATGTTTCTGCTCTCATAGTCTGGGTTGTACCTCTCAGCTTTCAGGGTACAGTGCAGTAAATACTGGAATTCTACCCTCTCCCACGGAAAGGTCTCCTGACACAACTTGACTCCTCATATCTTGGCTGTATTCAAAACAGCATTCTCCGCCATCGCTCGGAATTGTGGGTAAGGAGAGCAGAGTCAACCAAGGGTTGGGGGGAAAGTCTGAGTTCGATTTTGAGCAGCAATCTTGGGCTCAGAGAGAGCATGAGAGAATGGGAGAGACCTGTTCACCTCTCTTATCTCGCCGATAGGACACGGACTCTACGCTCTTCCACGCCATTCCCTGTCTGAGGGGGCCGCAGAGGAAGACCGGGAGGGACTATTGTTGATGCACTGCTAGACACAGACACACACACACACACACACACAGATAAGATACATGATGAAGAACTGAGCATGGGGAGGACATTATTGGCTTAGTATCCACCAGTGCAGAAGAGGCTGGAAATTCTGATGAAAGGAGTAGTATATTTGGACAAGACGTATCATTAAGATAGGCAAAAGGAAACAGGGAGGATGCGTTGAGATTTTCCATCTGTTCTTTAGGCAGTATTATTGCTTTCTCGCTAAAGCATCACGAGACCCTGAGAAAACAATTCTCAGCCAGTACTGCTGCCAAGAGGATTAAAATACTGTCGCTCTCTGACTATTATGAAATCTGTTGGTTTCTCTCCGTTAAACCAGAATCTAAATCACACTGTTTTGACACATAGGGATAATTTGGTGTTTGGAGAACCAGACAAAAAAAAAACAGTTTCTGAACATATCCACTTCATGAGTTTATGAATGCTTTTATGAAATACATCAGTGTGACAAGGATGGAAAAGATGTGTGAGAACATTGTTCAAAGAGACAGAATGGAAGAACATTTGTAAAGAATGTGGAGAAAAGGTCAGACATTCTACAAATGTATGCATTTAGCAAACAGAAAGGTCCAAAACAACAACAAAAATAATAACCCAGGTATTTTAGCCATAGAATTTATCTATCACCTGCCATGATTGCAAATAGATACTGGACAATTTACATATAAACCGAAAAAAAGGCAGGGCTTAAGTTAACATAAGGGCTTTTGTGTGAGCAGCTATTAATTAAAAGTGAATAAATCATATCTGGATGTTTTCCGGATATGACGAGTAATAAGTGTAAATGGGGCTTCAGTCACTGCTGCCCCATTCTGCTCAAATACAGGTGTGGCTACCTCGAGGTCATTATGACAACAAAGGTGAGGCACGCTTGATGCTGTGGGCGGAAGAGCTTGACCCAGTTGGCATTTGTACAGGAATCCTGTTTGGGTACTGCTAAATGCTCATGGTCGGAGCAACCTGTCAATCACAGAACAGGTCTTTGTGTGGGGTTTCTAGGATTTAATGAGAAGTTAGGATAGGATTAGGTTACATTTAAGTTGAGCTGAAACTTGACTGCTCATTTTCTCCACCCCATTGTGCATTGTTGTAACATTTCATTTTGTAAAGTTGTCTAACAAGTTGCCTTAGTTGACAGTCCTTCTCCCTTCTTTTCTTGAAAGCGAATCCAGTACAATGCATTCTTCATTCTATATCTCATCAAGATATTTAATATTTGAATTTTAATGTGAATGACTCTCTTAGTTACCCATTCCTTTGCAAGTTTAGACCATGTAATGACTGACAAAACATAGTTGTAGAAGAGACGGGTTTCAAAATAGCGGATTGCAAAAGAATCTTGTATGCAAATGGTCTGGCGAAAAGAGAATTTATTGTTTCCAAATCATGTTATCGGAGTGTAACCAAGCTGGAATTTAACCTGCTGTCCTTAAAATCTTTCGGTGTAGGAGAGGTAGTGAGCAGAACACAATGATGTGTGAATCTCATCCGGCCCCAGTTTTCTCATACCTGGAATTGCAGCGGCCCAGAGCTGGAGTCATTCTTTGTAAGCCAGCAGCAGAACAGTCAGTGTTTGTGCTGTCACATAGCCTTTGGCACAGCTTTCCCCTTAAAAGTCATGAGGCCTCTGATACTTTTGTCCAGACATGTTCCCTTCACTACAGGGCTGACCAGCCATCATGCCACACTCAATGCCATTTTTACCTCCACAGTTCATTTGTAAAGTTGAGCATGACCGCTGTTCTCTCTCTGATGATTTGATGAAGTACAGAAAAGGGCAGGAATGACATAAATGTGATGTTGGACTTATACGTTGATTTTATGATTATAGTTGCCATTACATTTTTGATGCTCAAAGGCCTGCTATCAGCAATTACCACTGATCAGATGACAGTGAGAGAGGCTGGAATGTTGTTTTCTCACATTTCCAGTCCTGGCCCTGGTTTCACACAAACCTCATCTTTGTGGTTTACAACGATGGACACTGGAAACATATGATAAGGCAAAAAAGAAAAAAAAATCTTAAAATCTATTTAGAAATGGCTGGAGGCAACACTTACAATTATAACTTTCTGCATGAAATTATCCACAGTTTGTTCCAATTACCTACAATTGGATCACAAGAAAATGACATAGCGACAGGAAAACAGCTCGCGTTCCCTGGCAGTACCAGTAAATAAACATGCATTCAGCAACATGAAAGACATTCCAATTTATTATTGCTCGAAAAAAAGAGCAGACAACCCGTGGCGCCAACCATTTTTAAATTTTTGTTTGTTCATTTGGAAGCCTTGTTCTTATTATACCTCTGAAAGTGTGAATCAGAATCACAGTTGCCAATGTCTTCCTTTGCAATGCTATACGTTAGATCACATAAGTAAAAGTAAACAATATTCATAAGTGCCCTTTCCCAGTGACATGCTTGGCTCCTAGTTACTTTGCTGCAGTGTCAAGGATGTTGACTCACTATGGTTTGAGGACTAGTAGAAAACATTTTTGTTTGCAATAGTGATTTGCTAACTTCTCTGTTAAACAGCAATCTGTTGTCACTTTGGTAGATTTGCAGCCCAACGCCAAGTTAAAGCCTCGGTCTCTGTTAATCCCTATCAGGTTGTGCAAGGTTTGGTAATGGGCTTAGAAGGTCTGAATCTGTTAGCACAGTGAGACAAACAGTGCACTGTGCCATCCACAAACACTGGAGGTGTCTAGGTCCGATTATTGTGTTAAGAAAGCATTATATGAAAATATTGTACCACAGAAATGGTAGAGGGGTTATTGCTGTGCTTTAAGACCAAAACACAGGGTTCTCTCTCTTTTTTATCTCTCTAGGTATAAATGTGGTGTAAACATCTTTGCACAATGTACCTCCCATTTTACATGCTCAGCAGGGGCCTCAACACAGGCTCTGTCTTGTCTTTTTCATGAACAGCACATTGTTTAGACTCAAAGCTAGCAAGCTCAATACTTCATACTAATGCTAGTATAAATCAAGCAAATCTCACCTCACCTTTATTTAAACAGCTGGATCAGCAAAAAAATCAAGTTCTTAACTTGGCTGTATTGAAAACTGTTCACCTTACTTTAGTATCACCCATGTTGTTACCTTTTCGCTAACTGGCTAATCATCTATAATGATGGTAATCTCACAACGATTAAAAAAGGAAGAGGTATATGTCAGATTTGTGGTCTGTATTCCACACAAGGCTTCAGATATCCATTGTCTATCATGCATTCATGGCAGCAAGATGACTAGAATAAATTTCAGTGGGGTTGCACGGCACAGCACTCTAATTACTGTTTCTGTTCCCACACTTCACTTAACTTTATAATTGGCTTGCCTTTTTCGCTGCCATTAATTACACGATTTCATATTCCATTAATGACTCTAAGAAAGAGACACACCTCACTTTTTCACACTAATTAACAGCTGCTTTGCCACTTTTCTGCACAAATGTGTGAGCAACGTCTCCCTTCTGTACCTCAGACCTTTCTCTCACTAACAAATGTGTTCATTAATTGATTTATTTACAATAATTCTCATGTAATTTCCTGTTGTTTTTTCCTCTCTCTCTTTTATCAGCACCCCTACCCTTCAGAAGAACAGAAAAAGCAACTGGCACAAGACACCGGGCTGACTATACTACAAGTGAACAACTGGTAAGTCAATTGTACTTTTGTGTTTACATGCAATCAATAGCTTCGCCCCTGGCAAGCGGCTCTTAATGATTTGAATTAATACACTCCCCTCCCCCCTGCTTTTGCTCGCCCCTCCCATCTGTCTCCCACTTATCACCTCATCTCCCTTCAAATCAATTCACCCAAAGGGATATTGCCGCCAGGATTTTTCCGACTTTTTTATTTTTTGTTCACTCATTCAAATATGAATCCCTGTGAGAGCAGCTACTCTTGCGCCTCTCTGAATCCTCTCTCAAAAGAGAAAAGTCTGTCCCATGCTCACTGTGACACAGGACTCTATGTCTCAGCCTAAAAAGCTATTGATTTCGTCGTTTCCACCGTTAAAAGTTCCGTAAAGTTTGACAGAACCTTCACAGGGGTGCGTTTGTTACCACTGATGGCTATCAGCACATACTTACTGTTATTAGCCGTGTCTAATGAAGGGCCTGAGATAGGGAGTGGGGAGGTGAAAACTAACAAAGGATGGAACGTTTGATGTAAGAACACAAAGAACAACCTTTGCCACAAATTCTCTCATGCCAGGCCATGAAATTCTGTTCGCAAACTCACTCCGCTCTCGTTCTCTAAGTGTCAGAGATTGATATTGCCAAGGATCTGATTACATGCCCTAATCCATTTTGCTGAATGAACCGGCCTTGATGTAAGCACTCCCAACATGGGATGGGAGAGTTGTTTTAAAAAAGCATTCCGATACAAATTAGAAATTACATATTATTAATTACTTCACAAAGGCAATCAGTAGCCTAATCATCCAAATAGCCAAATATGAACCATTAAACTACTTTAAGTTACAAGAGAAAAGCAAAAGAAAGTAGATCACATATATACATAGCCATTTTTATAGAACGAGAAAACATGTATGTGTACATTGAAAGCATTTTTCTGGCTGTTGTCATTGCAAGGAGTTGCCAACTGTAAAAAACAAAATTGTTTCACTTAAGCGTCATGTCATTTGTACGTGGTAGTTGCAATTACTGTAGAAACTGGATGTTAGAATGGGCACAGTCTAATGTAGCTGCTGTGGATAGTGCTATGGAATGCCCATCTGAAAGTTGTTTGTACCATAGTACTTGTTGGTAGTACTATATATTTTTTAATATTCATTAAAAATTCCGCTAGCAATTATTGTTTTTACTAAATGCATTGCTAAACATATCACATTTACTGTAATGCAATATACCTTTGTATGCTGATTACATACTGTAACATTGTTATTCCATCAGGCTTCTCAAGCTTATTAACAACCAATCCCTTGCTATGTACACCAGATGTTAGGAGAGTGAGAGAGATGGGAGACTTATTAAAACCCATTACACAAAATGTGATTTCTGACAACATAATCCTTACCATTGTACGGTTCGGTACCTTCGAGACAACCGGTGACTAAGAATGAGGATTAATTTACAAAAGTGGCCTATCAGTGGGACGCAGGCTGACGGACACAAGGGAATCTTGTTGGGGTTATCAATTTCTGTGACCTCACAACAACCCATGGGAGATCAATTCTTTCAGCCATATTAGTTAGCAGAGAACACACAGGCAATTACTTCACACACTGTCCTATCCTACCCCAGCATTCGGCTACTGGGCCGAATCATTGTGTAGCAGGGTTTGGTGTATGTTGGAAGAATTGTCATATTGCCTGTTTTTGTGTGGATGCGGGAGAAGGAGCACTTGTCTGCGCAAGTGTGTAAGCGATGAGCCAGAGGTGGCCAATTTAAGCGGTATTAGCTGTTAAACCCTGCATGCTGGGATCTTGCAGCCTTCTCTCAGATTGTGTGCATCAGTGTGGATGTGTTCGGATATGTGTGTAAGGGTGCAGATGACATGGAAAGTGTGTATGAAAACAGAGGGGGAGAGAGAGATGCTCAGCACATTGGGGGTTAGAGAGTAGGATCTGTCATTTCATAGGCCCGTGGTTGTGCTTAGTAGGAAGCTCACCACTGGGTGTCTCCATGGCAACCCCTGGTGATGTTACCTCCTGACCTGCTGATTTTTAGAGGCAATTTCCCAAGCTGTGATTCTATTTATCAGACTAGTCAAAGCACCGGGCCAATACAGCTTATTTCCAACATACAATACTCGTGCAAGATTTACAAGATAAATTCCAGCATTCCATTCTAGCATGCAAGCATATAGATTTAATTTGCTTAGCATGCAAGTCCATATCATTTAGCCATATCTCTGAACAAAAATTTAGTTGATTATAGGACTTAAGGGTGAACATGTGGAAACCACAATGTGACATCAAACAAACAGCTAACAGATGGAGCTAAACAAGAGATCAACCGAAAATTATGGCTTCCTTAAGCCCTGCTCCCATAGATGTATGTGTCCATTATTGATGAGGACTCTGAGAATCTGCAAGCTGAAGATTAAATAAAAAATGCTAAAGGCCGCGTGGGGTGCGGATCACTCATGAATTATTGGCGCTAACATAACATGAGGGACTGCTGCAAATCTGGGTCCACGTATTAACAATCGACCCACGTGGGTAAGTGCGTTGTTTAGTCAACATGCATTGAGAGTGTCTGAAAACTATTCTTCAAATGATGTAAAGGCACAGTCAGTTGTTCGACATACAAATGCAAAACTTTCATTGAAATAATGGTAGAGTAAGAAAAAGGAAAGATGCAGAGAGAAAGAAAAGTTTTAGCCTTTGACGATAAGAGAAAGCATTCTCAGAACACTCCATAAAGATCAGGGATGTAAAATCAATGGGCGGGTCATCGGGTTTCACGTGTTGCCCGTTCTTCCCTTCCTGACAGAATTTAATAATCCCTTTAAAGATGCTGTTTAAACCTTAGGGATGGATTGTTTTGTCAATAAGGCGGCTTTTATGAAAGTCTTAAAAGCATGGAGTGAGGTGTGGCGGGGCTACTTTAGAGAAACAGCGTCCACACACCCTGGATCAGGTTTCTGTGCCTGAGAGAAAAAAAAAGGAGCGAGAGCAAAATAAAGAGAGAGAACTGGATGATTGGCATGCTTCACTTCTCTGACAGCCAAGCCCGCCCATGTCAAGAGAAGTTGAAACTTGTTCAAGAAAAGCTCTGGATGATTGCTCTATGTGCTCTTCGTGTGTAGTATCTGGCAACGTTCTTATAGCTTCGGGGGAAAATGTCACCCCTGACCCAGTAGGTATCTTGGATAGGCAGTTTAACCTATACGAAAGCAAAATCAGAAATGAGATCTGTGTGGTATATCAGTTGTTTCTCCTATACCACGATGAGATTTAAATGGAAAGCAAATGGATACTTGCTTGACAGCAAAGATTACAGTTTATTTTCAAGACAAATGTATACTTATATAAAACATAGCAAGGAACTCCATTAAGTCTATCACAGAGCAACGTCTGGGCAGTAAAATTTTCCTTTGGATTCTGTGTGTTTACTAAATCCATAATTCTAGATGTAGTGTACACTGACAACTTACTTGCTTAAGCTGAGCATGCATGCATATGCGTGAGTCTCACTGTTCATGCATACATATGTGTATGTGTGTGTGTGTATATGCAACAGCGGCCCAAAGGATGCAAGCAGGTCTGGGTGAGATGAGCCATAGCCCATGTCCCGGAGCGGCCTTCACACAGCCTACCTGTCAAGGTGCTTTAGCGTGAATATCCGTGGCCTTTCAACAAAATACCAACACACCCTGGGGTCAAACCGCCAAACAAAAGACATATTTACACCAGTGAGACACAGGCATGCGACCCAACCTACACCCTCAAAATCCCCTGCTACATCAGGCGGAGATGGAGATATAGTGGAGAGCTCAGCTCCATGAAGCTGGATGGATATAGGGATTGTTTGCCTTTCTGCACAGTTGGGCTTAGTCTGTTCTCAAGTGTTTGCTAACAATTCTGCCATACTGGAATTTCAGCACTTGCTCAGGCCTGAACTCTGTGTTATGTCAACAGTAGACAAGTTGGAGTGGTTCTCTCTCGGTGTCTGTCTGTCTGTCTGTCTGTCTCTGTGTGTGTGTGTGTGTGTGTGTGTGTGTGTGGTCATGTGAAGTCGTTTGTAATGTGTGTTGGGGCGCGTGTGCATGTGTGTGCGCGAGTGTAAACGAGACCAGAGCAGTTGAAATAGTTTATTTGTTTCGGAGAGAATGCATCTCTATATGTGGAGATATATGTGCATGGATGGCTCTTTGGCAGTAAGTTGTCGTCGGATATGTGTGTGTGTGTATGCATGCATTCGTACAAAGTCTGTGAACCATACAAGGGTGCACCCCCCTCTTTCTCTCCCTCTGTCTTACATCACAACAGGCCCCAGGCACTGCCAACATTTTTTCTTCTTTTCTCTACTTTTTTATCCTCTATTTTGTGGGGGAATGTGAATGACAGACGGAGGGTGGATCGGCACTAGAGCATATTGGTTATGTTTATAAATCTAGGAACAGATTGGACCGCTGATTAGCGAGCCGACCACTGATTAGCTAATGAGCTTTTAGCATTACAGTGATTGCAAGGTCACGTTGAATTTCACCCCTCCAACAACAACCACAAAAATATACACGCTAGAGCAAGTAACACTTCATATATGCATTCTCTACATATAACGCAAGTATAAAGAATAAATATGAAAAATATTGCCCTAGCCATATTATCTGCACTGTTAATTTCACCAAATTAAATTTCACAAAATGAAAACTAAAATAATGAAAACTCCTATCTGTCACTGGTTGGACAAACAGATTTTTTTTTTTACATCATGGCAACACTTACCTATTACATATAATAGTGCATGAATTAAACAGTGCCATGGTACTGTATATAATAGAATACCCGATGTGATATCAGCATGGTGCCATCACAGTTTTTATTAGGGAAGCTGAAGCAGCAAAGTGACTAAACTTGTCAGACCACAAATCTTAAGCTTTCATTTATGGTCTCTACTGGTTATTCAAATTACCATACCATCAGGTGTTAAAGTAAAAAAAAAAATTTTTTTTTTGCTCAG